AGGGTTAAGTGGATTTGGAGAAGAAGAAGAGACTTTACCCAATTTCCAAGTGACTTGGATTAACTTCAACATTCTATCCCCCTAGGGAGAGATCTAACCTAGTTGGGAGACCACCCAGTGGAAATGTGGGCATCCGATCTGGTATCTGTCCATCTCTGTCTGTCTGTCTATCTTTCTGATCAGCAGTCTCAGCCCAGGGAGCTAAGGCTCAGGGACACTGCAAGCCATCTGTAATTCCTGCCTGCTACAAGTGTTAACACCTGGCCCCAGGCCTTCCTCCCCCACAGTCTCCAGGTGCTTGGCACATCTGAGCTCACTGACCTCCACAGGGTTTGACTGAACATGTTTTTCTGTCTCAGTGAGGATGGGAGGGGTCGAGACCCAGACCGTGCTATTTTTGCAAAAGGGAAAACTGAGGTTGGCCACGGGGCAACAATTGGCCCGAATCCTTTCAGTGTTATCACAGGATGCTGAGAAGCCCATTTGAGAATCTACATTCTCGCTCCAATAATTTTTTAAAAATCATATTCGTTATCTATTACCTCATTGAAATCACACAACACTCCTGTAAGGTAAGCAAGGGATTATCAGCCCTCATTTTACAGATGAAGAAACTAAGTCCAGGAGAAATAAAATGACTCGATGCTTAAGGTCAGGCATCCAGTTTGGGGCAGAGACAGGTCTTCTGACTCCTGAGTCAGTGTTTATTCATCTGATTGTCTTTTGAGGAGGATCTTAGAGGAAATACTCTAAGAAAATGGTCTCATTTTCTTCCAAGGAAGAGGAGACAATATCCTCTACCAGCTGTGGGTGGGAACTGAAAGAGTGAATTGCATGATCCAGGATACTCCAGGAGTCTCTCAGGAGACTGGACAACAGCTGCCATTGTGTGGCTGAAAGAGCCCTGGCCTTGGAAATGGGAGATTTGCCATTAGTTTGCTGTGTGACTTCAAGCAACACTTTCCCCCTCTCTGGGCCTTATCCATAAATGAGGGATAGAATTGGATATCCCATCCAGCTTTGACATTCCTTGATATTATGATTCTAAATCCAAGCTAGAACACACACAGAAAGATTTGAAGTTCAGCGTCAAGAAGGAGGGGGAGACCTCAGGCCTTAAGAGGTCTGACTTTGGGGTGGGGGAAACTATTGACTGAATAATTTCCCTTCCAAATCTCTCCCTAGGACATATGTGTGGGCTGGGTGGGCCCGAGTGTCATTAGCAACTTGAATTTACCTGTTCAGAATTCTAATGAGCAGGGATGGAATTGGGGATCCCTATGGCTTTCCCCCAATCCCATCTCACTCTTCTAATCAGCCCCTACCCAAATTCTAAGAGCTAGCCATGGGGGAACGATGTGTTTCCTCTCTTCACCGCACAACTATGCCCAAATAGTTCATGAAGTCAGTGATTGACCATAGACCTGGGGAGGAAAGTGTGGAGGTGGGCCCAGGATGTAAGTGCAGCTATACTCCTTAAACCAGCAGAATCTCCCAGGTGAATTGATCACTGTAGTAAAAGCATTTCCTAGCTAAGATAGCCAATTCATCCATCCACATATCCACATTCCACTTTGAAGCTCCCCCTGCCAGAAGAATCATTCACACAGACAGTCACAAAGCACTGACATACGTGTTCCCATATGCAATCACAGGCACTGTTCCTCTTGCATAGACACAGCACATATGGGGCTGCTGATGTTCATACAGGCACAGGTGAATAATGTTGGCATAGATACACATAGTACAGACACAAGCCCAGACATAGACACAGACAAGAACATAGACAGCAATACAGGGCACTGACCCTCTTGCAGGTACGTAACGTTGATATTGTCACAGACGCAGACACAGAAATAGAATCACTGACCCTCCCATAGGTACAAGCACAGACCCATAGCATTGACACAATCACACACACGGATGCAGACACAAAAACAAGCACAAACATGGATGCAGACCCAGAGGCACTGACCGTCAGACAGGTGCAGACACACATTATTGACATGGACACACACACATACACACACCTACAGGGCACTGACCCACAGATAAAGAGGGACTGACCCTCCTATGGGCATAGACAGACACACAGAGGGGCTGACCACCTTGCACAGGCATAGGCATACAGAGGCACTGGTCAGACTTATACAGACATAGAAGAACACCCAGAGGCACTGACCCTCACACACATACAGACAGACACAAAGAGGTGCTGACCCTCACACACACACACACACACACACACACACACACACACACACACACACTGATCTTGTATAAATTGACACACAAACAGAGGCACAGACAAATGGACGTAGGCGGACCCACCATTACCAACGCTGGCAGTCCTTGACATGAACACAGGTGCCCCCCACCCAGAGGCACTGACTGACCCTCATGGAAAAACACAGACCTGGGCACGGACACCACCACCCCCTCCATATACACAAACATGATAAAATACAGAGATACATGAATCTTTCTCCTCCACACCCAGACAAAGCAACCCTGCTTCCCTTCTCTACTCTGATTTGTCTGACACCATGAATACGGCACTGAGGGTGGACCTGGCCTGGCAGGCTCACAGATAGATAGCCTTTCAAATGGCCCTTTCCTTGGCCTAATTCTCCCTCTCGTGGCAACTTCCAACGGGTAGCGTTTCAAACCACCATTTAAAAAATCCACCTCCAAACCCAATGCTCCTTTCCTTAGCCAACTGATGCCTTCCCAGCTGGCTTTGTCCATTACTGACAGTACATTCTTGGGTCTGTTTACCAGGTACCTTTGACAGGGATGGGACAAGACTGGCCTCCCTGCTCCCACCTCCTGCCTTTCGGAGCTGATTTTGCCTCTTTCCCACGGGTTCCCCTACTTCATTCCTTCCCTTGTCTGGGAGCTCTGCCTGTGCAAAGAACTGAACTCATCCTTGGATCTGAAGAATGGCTGTGGAGGGTAGGTCTCAGCAGCTACTTACCCCCTCAACCCTCTGCCACAAACTGCAGAGACCTCCATCACCCAAGAAAAGCCCACCCCCTAGAAGACGGGATTCTATTTTCTTAGCCTTTTCTCCCGGGGAAGACATCTCCCCAGCCTTCTCTTCCTTTAACCACTCAACTCAGTCAAATGCAGAGCTGCATCCCATGCTGAGCCAGTCCAAAGAAAGACTCTCAAGCTATCCTGCAGAGATGACTTCCCAGCGACCTTCTGACTATATAATTTGAGTCTCTCCTGACTGCATAGTCCTTACTGCCTATAACCTATGTGCCCTCCTTTCTCCCACCCCCAAAATCCCCCTTCCAGGCCCTCATTCCCCTCAGGCAAAAACACTGCTACTTTTCCAGTAAAGATAGAAGAAAAAAAATTGGGGGGGGGGGGAAGGAGAGAGAACAGGCAACCACATTTAAGATTTCGATATTCTCCTTTTCTTTTTCTTGTTTGTTCGTTTTTAATCTTGAATCGGGAGGGTGCTGCAAGACAACGCTTCATATTGGCCCAAAAGGTCATTTTCCCCTTTCCAAAGCAACCAGGGTGGGAACTGGATGGAAGTGGATGAATTTTATGAGATGGATGATGAAAAATGAGGATTTGAGTTCTTTTGGACTGTATTCCTTGCAGCAGAGCCCAATGGGCACTTTTCACTTGGGTTCTCCTGAAGGGAGAAGCAATCACACTCCTGATATTTTTGGAAATTCAACCAGCCCAAATTTCTCTTCAGCCCTTTCCACCCCTATCTCCTCTTCCCGTCCCCCTCCCATCCAAACCGTTCATCATCATCTTGGGGGAAGATTCATTAATTGAAGTTTTCTGGAATGTGGGTGGTTGGAGGGTAGTGGGGAGACTCAGAGGGATTTAAAGAAGCTGGTTTTAGTCTCCTTCTCTCTCCCGACTCCCTGTACCTGCCAAAGGGAGGGAGGCTGTGTCATTCGGTAAACAAGAAACAGCTTCCTATACCAGAGAGTCACAATGTAATGTTACTCAACCTGCCTCCCACTCCTCGTTTTCCCATCTTCATTTTCTAAAATTTGTTTTCTATTTTCCTTTCTCTGAGAAGGAACTGTCCCTTTCTCCCCGGCTTTCTTGTTCCCTTTTCACTTTTCTTTCTCTTTAGAAAAGAAATTAATTTGAAATGGTGAATTATTTAATTTTTTAAAAAAACCTTGACAACTCCATATAAAACAAACCTCATTTCCCCTCTACACCCCTCCCATTCACCCCCAGTATGAGAAAGGAAGAAATGAACGAACTCGAAATTAAATGGCACCTTCGTTAGCGGCTCAAGCCGGCCACGCTCACTTTGGAGGGTCTGGATTAACACAGCTTACATAGGAGAATATGGTGATTTTTTTTTTTAAATCACATTGCTCCCCCACCCTCCTACCCCCTATCCAAAAGTCCCTTAAAGCCTTTGGCCATTTGAAAAAGGAAAAAAAAAAGATAAATGATGTTGATTCTTGGGGGGAGGTGGATCCCTTTCTAGAGGATGAGATAGAGTGGGGGTGACAGAACATAAGAATTCTGCACAAAGCCCCAAATTCAGCCAGAATAACCCAGATATGGAGATGGGAGCGTGTCTCTGTCTAGGCATTCAGAGATAGATCTTTTTTTTTTTTTAAGAAACCCAGTTGCAATTGAAGGAAGGGATTCCGGGGACCATGGCTTGGGGGGGGGGGTGCTGTTGGATTTAAGGAATGGAAAAAAAAGAGTCCTTCATAAACAGGAGGAGGGGGGACTCTCCAACCTTTGCAATTAATGGAAAGAAAATGGTGATTAACACAACCTAGGACTTTAATTCTGAAATTGAAGGCAATAGCAGCATAGGAATTCAAGCAACCTATTTCTCATGGTGGGGGTGGGGGGAGCCCTGGAAGGAGGAGAGAAAGGAGAAGCAACGAACTAGTCTCCCACCCTTACTCCCAACACCAGTACCACCTCCCTTCCCCCTTACCCTCCAGAATATGAAAGAGAAAATGAGGAGCAGGGGAAAAGACGACTCTTACCACCAAATTGGGTAACCGGCTAAGACCTTGGTGCCACTGAACAGGAAGGAGAAGAGAAATCCAAGCAGGTGGTGATCCATTAGTCCTGGGTTGGAGGAGGAAGTTTGCAGGCAAACATGAAGAGGGGAAGCGAACGCCCCCAATAGTTGGAACAAAGTCCACTTGAAATTGGAAATGACTTTCGGGTTTGTCAGAAACGCACCTTCACCAGCCTTCCCCCCCCCCACCCCTTTCCAAGAGCTCAGAGAAACAGGGTTTGAGGATGTCAGCAGGCAACCAATCAGAACGCTCGGCCTAAGGTAAGAGATGAGTCTATAGTTCAGAGCTGTCAATCATGCCTCCCCTCCCTCCCCTCCCTCCCCGGCCCCACAACTTGGTCTCGGGCTGGGAAGGGCACAGCCCTACCAAACTTGTGAAAAACCCTTTCCTCTGGGGATAATTAGATTTCTCCCCAAGTTCATTTGGGGGGACACCAATGGCTAGTCCCAGCATCTGGCCCCGGAGGGAGAGCTCTACTTTGATACGGTTTGGCCGACTGACCATTGGGTGGGGCTGGGTTTGTTAATTAATTAATTTATTTATGTATTTATTTTGGGTGGTGTGGGTGGGGGGAGGTGAAGATGGGGTTGGGGGAGGTTGGTGAAATGGCAGATGATTTTTCTGCTGGGGTAACTACTAATTTCTGGTGGCCTGAGCCCAAGGAAAGATCTGGAAGAACCCAAAACCTCTGCTTTCATGCTGTTTAAAACGCTAAGGTTTTTCAAAGCAGTAATGGGTGTCTGCATGAGAAGGTGGTCTCGAAAGCCCCCAGCCTGTCTTCTTGCCTCAAATCTATCCTGTTATTTTTCCACTGCACAGTAAAACTTACTGAATAAAACTCTCCTCCTGAGGTATTGGGAATCTTAAAGAAGGATCTGGGGAGTGCTTTGAGATCTTGGGATGAAAGGCACCAGGGGAAAGTGCCCTGCGTTATTGGATTATTTTGTCAGGGATCAGATCAGTATCGGGACCTCCTGCTGCCTTTGCATTTCCTGCAACTGACACCACACTGGGTCAGTTGCATTTCCTGCTTGTAGCCAGTTTTCACTTGCTGTCTTCCCTTCCCCCCCCCCAATTATCCAGTGCCTCTTGGATCTAGGTCTCTACCCCTTCCCCGAGGCAAATTAGAAAAACCTCCCTAACCCACCCATTCCTTAGAGAAGTATTTGGTTGGGCTTTAGAATTTCTTTTGGAGGACAAGGGAAGGGGATTGTTGACCGAAAGCCTTATCCTAGGGGCCCAGTCCAACAAAGAAATAAGTTCACCCCTCTCTAGTAGAACACCTGAGCCTCTTGATTCGTTCTTGTGAATAGAACCTGGGACTTGGAGTCAGAAAGAACTGGGTTTGAATTGTATCTCAGACACTGCCTAGCTGTGTAACTCTGGGCAAATCGCTCTCCGCCCTCTCTACCTCAGTTTCCTCATCTGTAAAATGGAGATGATAATAGCACTTCACAGGGTTATCGTGAGGATCGAATGAGTTAACAAATTTAAAGTTCTTTGCAAACCTTAACGCTGTATAAATGCTGGCAAGCTTTTTACCGACTGACCTTAGCTTCTTTACCCAGAATCCAGACAGATTAAACTTTCTCTATTTCACCTCTACACCTTCCCTACTTCCTATGGGAACTCATCTCAGGGTCTGAGCAACCTTGGAAGCACCCCCAAATCCCTGGTCTCTTCCTTTGTTCACACTCAGTTACCTTCCAAAACCTGTCTGCCTTCTTTTACTCCCCAGGAAAAGTCATAAAGTTGAGGATATTTTTAAGGATTTCCAAGCACCTTCAGACACCCAGTAGGGAATTCTTACAACCTCCCTTCCTACAAAGAAGTAGCATTCCATAATGGAAAAACTGAGCAGGAAGGGAGGGAGAAGAGGTAGCATAAGGGTGTGTTGTCCTATAGAAGAACCCCCTTCCTCCCAAAGGCCTATCTCAGCAAAAAGTCCAGGGTTTGGCGATGAGCTCCCTCTTTGCTCTCCCTCCCCTTCCTCACTTAAAGCCCACCTCATTCTCTTTGCTCTCTCCTTCTCTGCCCCTCCTGGGCTGGCCACATTCCAGACCTTAGTCTCCCTAAGATTCCCAGAAGGTATGAGTTGTGGCACTGTGCTCACGAGCAATGCAGGGATATACCACAACAGGTACAGGGGAGCACCCTAATAAGGGGGCACAAGGTTATCTGTCCCTGGAAAAGATTATTAGGCTGCTCACTGGCAATTTGAGGGAAATCTAACCCCTGAGGCTCATCCTGGCCCCTTTGAGAGCCCTGTCCTTAGAAAAGGGACAAGGGCAAGGGGGGGAAGCACAATTCTTAGAACCCACACAGGGTTCAGAAATTCCTTGAACCCCAAACAGACTCCCTAACCTCTGATCCTTGCTCCCCTCAGTTCCCAAAGCTTTGTGATTCCCCATCTTCAAACCTACTGCCCTTTCTGCATTCTCTGCATAGGGATCCTTCCCCACACCAAGTCCTTCTGGCAGAGGCTCAGCAGCTCCTGAATTGGCCCCTTGGGGCAAATGAAGGGGTCGGTGGGGGTGGGGGGGTTGGGTAGCTGCCTGGGCTTGTCCTGCCTTCTGCAATGTTCTTAGCCAAGGTGCACGTCTGGTGGGGGTGGATGGGGAAGAAAGATGAAAGAAAGAGGAGGGAAAGGGAGAGAGAAAGAAAGGAAAGAGATGCAAAGAAGAGAAAGAAAGGAGGAGAATAGAGGACAGAGAGGGAGGTGGGGCAGAGATGAGGGAAAGAGAAAGGAAAAGGGAGAGATGAGGGGAAGAGTAAGAGGAGAGAACATGGAAGAAGAGAAAGGGGAGATGGGGAAGGGAGGAGGGGCCTAAGAGATGAAGGAGAGAGAGAAGTGGGGGAGAGGGAAGAGAAAAAGAAAGATCTAGTTAATGGGGTGCTGGATTAAGGAGTTACCCAAAGAACTAGTGTGAGTAGGGGAGCATTAGGAGTGATGGTTCTTGAACTTTTTTTAGTAGCCCCAAGTGTTTTTATAAAAGACTTTTTAAAAAATTCACCTGAAAGGTTATTTACAATTGTACCTTCTATTTTTTTTTTCATGGAAGAAAACCAGAGTCCCAGGTCCAAGAAACTAAGGTGTTGATCTCCCCTCCCTGATATGGATTTAAGGTGTGCAAAGCCCTTGTACTGACCCTAAACGACCCTGCTCTTCCACCTCCCCTTACTCTACTCTTTCCCCTTACTGCTTGTCAGCTCAGGATGGGAAATCTCTCTGAGAGGTGGGTCAGGAGGAAGCCAGTTTCAGACACCAGAGTCCTCACTGAGTCCTTCCATGGAAATGTTAAGAATATGGAGATCAAACACCCAGTCCCCATTTATCCACACTAGTCCAGGCTGAGGAATGATCTGAACTCTTCCAAACCCTCTAGCTCCTATGAATTTATGCTCTAGAGATGTAAAGGTAGGAGTCAGGTATGTGGATTAAAGTCTCCTTACACTGAAATTTAGAAGGATGACCCTTTCTGTATATTCATGGATATATTCATGGTATGTATGTAAGGTGGGAGGGAATGGTGCGAAGCAGGAAGAAAGGAGTCCATCTCTATTAGGACAATTCAATTCAATTCAATAGGCACTTATTGAACTCCTATGTTCCAAGCCAGTTCCTTATGCTATATTCCTTAGCATCTGAGCAAGATGCTAAGTTTACAAAGACGTTTTGTTCCTTACCCTAAAGGAGCATACATTCTATTGGGGGAAGGAGGAACAAGATATACACAAATATGTCCATTCAAAATATATACAAATACATGTGTGTGAACAAATGTAAAGCAATGGAGAGGGGTACTCACAACTTGGGGAATCTTGTAGGAGGTAGCCAGAGCTGGAGCCAGGGCTGCCAAGAAACAGAAACATGGGAGGAGAACATTCCAGGTTTGGGAGAGAGACTAAGCAAATGCTCGGAGGTAGGAGATGGGATATTGGCTACAGGAAACAGCAAGTAATTATATTTGACTGAAGCATATAGTAAGGGAGATGAGAGTAATACAAAATCAATCTGAAAAGATAAGAGCTAGGGTATGAAGGATTTAAATGCTGAAAGGAGGTGTTTGAACTTTATTCTAGAAGCCATAAGGAGCAGGCAGTGACAAGGTCAGACTTATGCTTTAGGAGTATCAATTTGGAAGCTTCGGAAGATGGATTGGAGTGGGAGGAGCCCAGATATAAGGAAACCAATGAGCACAATATTGCAGTAATCCCAGTGACAGGTTATGGAAGACCAAACTAGGATATTGGCTGTTCGGATTGGACTACCCTGGAAGGGAACCACACTTTGAACTTTGAACTGAGATTGGAAGATTTTCCAGAAGAGAGGGTCAGAGCACCAGAGCTTATCTGATAACCCTCATCGAAGCTTTGGAGGTTTTTGGATTGGTTGGTCTGAAGGAAGGGCCCTATGGGCAAGCTAGGGACATTAGAATAAGAGTGACCAGCCTAGGAAGATGGTAGAGTCAGAGAGGAGATAGGAATTTTCAGAGCAGGACTGCTCTACCGACCTGGGAGTGAGGACAGGTCAGAAGGGTGAGGGGAAAGTTCTGATAAGAGAACAGTCAATCCTTCATTGGGATTTAGGACTTGCCTTTATTCTGGCCCCTTCATGTCCCCTGATTGTCCCCAACCTACTCTAACCCCCACGGTTTCAGGTCTAACAACCCTCCCCCAACCCCCATCCCCAAGAAAGACAAAAGAAGAGACTGAGGAATTGATTTTGCTAGCAAATCTGAATTGAGTAGCTACCATGAATAATTATTTATGTTATTTACAATGATAAATGGCTTCTAAGGTCCTTCCAACTCTAAATTTATGATTGCATAATCCTAAGGCACTGTATAAGGCAGAAAAATGCAGGTTAGAAAAGAAGGATAAGGGCCTAAAAGTATAAAACCTTTGAGAGCCAGAGCTGAAAGGAATCATTTAGTCTAACCCCTCACTCTAGAAATGAGTAAACTGAGTCTCAGTTCTATGGTTCCATGAATATAGGACCGTCCAGCTGTAACAGATAACCTGTCTGACTTGCCCAAGATCACACAGTTAATTAAGATCATGGTTTTAGACCTGGAAGCAGTAGGTAGAGGAAAATATTTAATAACCAGCTCTCCAAAATCCCTAGCATCCTTTTAAGTTTAATCTGCAATATTAATTTT